GTATCGTATGTGTAATGTTTGTATACATTTTAGAAGAAAAAAAACCGCGTAACGACCTGGGGACGGACATAATTACTTTCTTTAATTTAAATTGTTTACGGAAAACTACCCTACAATTAATCAAAATACACCCGAAGGAGCGTGCATTCTTTAACTTAAGTGTATATTGTGAATGGTCTGGTTTTTTATGCAGCTTTTTCCCCAGAGCCATTAAGTTAACTTAAATTCTATTAATTTGTGATCACACATCATTTTATTTTATAAATATTATTCACCGGATGCACGCCCACATTGTTTGTGACCCAACAGATTTTAACTTAATAATGACGAAATTTTTAAATGTGGATTATTGTTAAATTTTAAGAACACTGTTTTTGGGGAGGACTTTGCGAAGACCTGGTGTTCCGTTTTTGCCCCGAGCTTATGCCAAGAAAGCGACGATAGGGCGGGCCATTTTCCGATGCAGAGGGAATGCAACAATGATGTGGCCCTAGACTGAGAGGGATGTCCTTCCAGCACTTAGAAGTCACCAGAAGTCCACCAAAAAAAAAAAAAAAAAACAAGTGTTCTTTCCCCCACTTAGTTTTAAGGGTTCACCTTTGTTTTCAGGAGCTTTGTTCAACATTTTTAATTTTATTAGTTTTTCTTTTTGTTGACTACCCCTTGTTTTGTATGGCAAGGTCCGAGGTCGGACCTCAACGGGGGAGGGGCAAGTTGTAACGGTCACATTTCGCTTGACCGTTACTTCGCGTCCCAAACCAACTGACACAGCACCCCCGACTATAGGTAGGGGAACGGTCGCACACACAAGACAATGCACGTCGCGTATCATCTAATTAACCAGTTGACTTTACCATCACGGACCGCCAATATCCTCGACCTTGCGCTCTATATTTTTGCCGTTTTACTACAAGCCGCCCATCCGACTATCTTTTGTGTGCGTCCGTTTCAACTCCGCTTTGACCAACCATTTCATCGTCCAACCCAGGTCAGAGTGTATATATATATATATATATATATTGTATAATTTTGTATTTTATTTAGAAACCCTAATTTAGAATAAAACATCTTGTAGCCTGCAGCTGAGAGTTAGATTATTTAACAGTGTGACCGCCCGTTCTAGCTCCTCGGGCGATATATTAAGTTAATAAGGGAGACTTTAAGGCCAATTAGACGTAGACAACGGCCTAGCCAACCGTTTTCCCGTGGGGATCCGTCTATTTTAGCTTTATCGACGGCCACTTTGCCTAGTCTAGCCAGCTAGACAAGTAGGTCCGTTACACTCTAAAAATATATTTTCAAACATAAACCAAAATTAAATGTTTTATTTTAAGTGAATACAAGCAATATAATGGAAATAATAAAACAAAACAAATGGTAAATATCTGTCAATCTTGGTAAATGCAAAAGGAACCAAAATTATGCTCATATTTCGAATTTGGTTTAACCGAGCTTGATGCATCTGCCATATCTGCAATATCTGTTTCATTGCCGTCTTCAGCCTTTAACGTTTCCATTGGAAACTAAAGATAATAGAGCGGGAGTCTCCAAATATACACAACGAAAATCCTAAGGTATAAATAAATTACCAAGAGTTAAAATAAACACTCTTAGATTAATTTTACTAACATCGCCATTTGAATTGTAAACGCCAGTAATACGAATGAACACTATCGGCCTGGGTTCAAATTGCAATAACTGCCATGGTCTTGTTGACTCATAAGACTTATTTACGAGCATTTCCCAAACTACATTATTGACTGAAACTTCAAAAGTGTACCCGCATTCCTGTTTATCGTTCTCCAAAAGCAACATCCTGTAAATTATTGCAATAGCATCGGTAATTCAGTCTGAATTATAGGATATAATCCGTAGAAACCTAACATTTAAACAAATATTGCTGATATGATAGTGAATTGCATTAATTTAGCCATAAATCTTCATCCGATAACTTATTTTTAATATAGTTTATAATTGATGGACGAATCGACTTTATCATAGTACCGCCGTTAACGCCATAGTTAACAGAAAAACTCTGAGACTGACGAACAAGATTTACATTAGGTTCTAAAAAATGAAATAATTAAAATAGAAATAATTTATGGAATACAAAATTATGTGTACAGCAGGCATACTTCGATGTCCTCGATACCCAAGCTCATGTGGTAGCCCCGTATTTCTCGATTGTATTGCACCTAAAATTGTGTCCAAGCTAATCAGTTTTGATTGCCAAACCCCCGCCAGTTCTTCATCAGTCAATAACTGATATCTAACGGCAGATAAAACTTTTTTTTGGGAATCAGAATCTAAGTAGTCTTGGTTGTCTTTGATCCAGCGAGAAACCGCACGGAACATATCTAATTCGTTAGCATAAAACGTGTCACGAATGAGTATTTCTTGAAGAGCTCCCTAAAAATAAAAATAAATTGTTTCTCAACTCGTCAGCTAACACGAGCTTTATTATTTTTGTTTATCTAAACAAAAATCAATACGAGCGGCAAAGTCAGATAATCTTCAGTTTGCAATACATCCAAAGCGTGAGTTTCGATAAAGTTGAGCAAAAATTCGGGTGATTTTACTTCAAAGTTTTTATGTTGATAAAGTCGTGTCATAGCAAACAATGAACATACATTGTCTTTATTAATGTTACTGCGTAAATACTGGCACAGTGCAAATTGTAAGTCTGAGAAACCGTATAAATTCGAGAGACTAAATAATTACACAATAACTTTATCCTAAAAAATTAAAAAATCACATCTTTGATTAACCGTTTTCTTGTAAATATGTTTTTCTAATTAAACACAAACGATCGCACAGAAGTATATGCAGTTTGAATTACGTTATGGTACATTGATTATACGTCACCTTTAGAACACTTAAATTTATCCGACCGTTATAAATATACTCTAGAAGTATTTTAAATATGGTTACTGATGCATCACTGATGTTCACCTCAGACTTTTGGGATTCTTGAAATCCTCCGTACAATAAGCCGCTAGAAATTAACAGAAAACGAAATTCTGGTTTGGTTTAGGAAGTTTGATCATTTTGAATCAATAGTACACACGTTTGCAATAGATAATATGTTTAAATAACTACTATGTATCATTTGTTACTTAAACAAATGTATATAATAATAAAAAAGAGAGACCCTAACTTTAATTTTTGTCAATATCTGCATATTATGATGATCTTTAAAATTTTAAATTTAAAGTTAAATCCACAATATTTGTGTTATATTAATAATAATCGAAAATAATTTAACTACCAATAATTTTAAGTCTGTAGTAAGATAGCACTAGCTTAAACTTTTCCCAAATTTAAGAAAATAATTTAAACTTTTTTATTGATATTGAAATTTTGTAACTATTTTTTTTTTTAAATAATAAATTCCTTATGTTAATAGAAAATTAAACCAATAATAACATCAATAAAGTTATTAGGTGTAAATATAATTCTACCTACGTACTTGTCATTTAGATACAGAGTGCTAATGTTGTTGATCAAGAAGTGACCATAATCTATTTCCTTACTACTGTGTGGATTGTCTGTAGACGAAGATGGTGTACACTCAACAAGACAATAACATACTAAAAAAAAAAAATATAAACTGAATTTCTTAGAAAGTTTATTAATTTTTCTGTATATAATTACTGCTTTTTGAAGTTTTTAAGTATCTAAAAGACGTATAGGACATTGTATAGTGTATTAAATCTACAAAACATTTTTGTATTTTCAAATAAATAACATCTTAGCTACGCCAGTACAAAAAAAAATGTGTTAAGTAGAAAAAAAATGTATACTCAGATTGTAAAAAACTAACTAACGTGGCTTATAATCATTTTAGTTGATCATTAACTATTTATTTATTGTAATTATTGATGTTAATGATTACATTCTAGTTTTAACTTAAGCGTGAAACTAATACTGTCTAAAAGATTTTTTGAAGTCATAAAGGTATTACACATCTTAAGCAATAATAACGCTTCAAGATTGCTGTAATTAAATTATAAAGAAAAAAAATGATTTATATAATAATAAAATATATCTATTACCTAAGGTTGACCATAAAATAATAAAGGCTAAGAAATAAATCATCATCATGTTAATATAATAACAAATGTAGAAAACCTAAAAAAACACTATAAACATAACTTTGTCATTATAGGTTGAAACCCAATATGTAGTTTCATTATAGCAGTGTACCATATTTTTTAATACTTACAAACTAAAGTTGATAAATAAAAAAATGTGCATACAATTTGTGTATGGTGTTTTGGTAGGTACATAAACGTGTTATTGTTATATATAAATTAATTTATTTGATAGCAACTTTTAACAATTGGTATTTAGCAACTTTTAATTACTTTATAAATAATTATTCAAAACTGATTATCAACCAGTAAACATGCTGAGTACAGTATTCTTAATTTAAAAACTTAATGAAATATATACTTTATCATTTAAGTTTTGAAAAGTAGCTAACAAAGTAACTAAGTTGGAAGGGGGTAAAAACAAAACATAATATGAAAAATTAAGATCACATTTCTTATTAAACCCTATGAGATATTGAGTGGCCTAAGATACGAAAATCGCTCTTATATTATATTTTGAATAATACTAAAAATTCTGTGGCCTATTTTCATTTAGCTCTATAATTGCGTTCTTTATATAATTATATGATCATTTATATAATAATAATGTATAGGAAACTAGTCCTGCATAATACATACAGCGTACAGTTCAAAATATAAAAAAAAACTGTTTGTAAAAAAAAAGTATGGGTATAATGAAGAAGACTGACGTCAAATTAAAATCTGTGTTTATTTTTTAACAATATACAACGATATCATGTTTGTGTACCTATACAAAAAACAGTACACCATATGTTAACACAATTATTTGTTAATAGTAGATATATTCTTTCAAGTATTGAAAAATATATTACTGTATTAAAGATAAAATACACCTTCAAATCAGTTCTTAATGTCTATTAATAAGGTTTATTTTGTTTAAGTGTTTTATTAAGTATTCAAGACTTGACATCATATTAACACGTAGATCACAATTAATATGTATAAATATTTTTTATTAGCCATTGTCGTTTTAACGTCTAAATCAGGTACGTTATGTATTTAATACTACATAAACATTTTTGACCTAATAATATTTAACATTTTTGCATAAGCTCATTGGAAGATTAGTCAAAGGTTCCTCCCTTGTTTGGAAATAAATTTAGAGTTCCTATTCGATACAATCATTTGTGTTGTTTAAGAGGCCACTCATTATGGTAGAGGCCATGTAATTAATAAAATGTCGCGTTTAGCAATTTCTGAATTTACTCTAAGATATTTTTTTGTTTACTCATTTATTATACCAGGTAGTCCATGAATTTCCTACCATATCGCTATCATTTTTGTTGTTCTACCAAAACTCATACGGTTTTAAATCTCACACATTGTTTCTCACCTAATAATATTGTATAAATAAGACGTCATTTATCTGTATCAACACACCTGTTTTAAAGACTGTAACATGTACTGTATCGTATAATGTACTTTACCTTATTATGAATATATGTTTGTAATTATTTCCAAACAAAATGTATGTACCACGTTGAATAGATCACCCTATATTTTTTACAATTTAATAAATAATCACCCAATCACATTAACATAAAATTGAATTTATCATGTTGTGATCCGGTCGATCGTATGCCGTCTTCGTCTATAGCCGGACAGCACAGTAACGAACAAATCGATCACTCTTACTTCATGGTCAGCGACCAAAGCAATCTGCGTCTAAATGACGGGTATGCAGTAATGAATTTGTACTTGTCAACCATATTATTTTAATTATATTAAAGTTCAACTTATTTCAGGTATACAGATGTTTTTTTAGTTGTTGACGGAGAACGATTGCCCGCTCATCGTAGTGTATTAGCCTCACGTAGTGATTATTTTAGGTATTTAATTCTTATCAAATAGCATAATATTCCCTTAGGGATTTCTACTTGGGCGGATAAAAACAATTTGTTTTATTATTATAATTTTTTTTTTTTGTAGCTTTAGTTTTTGAAACCCTTAATGGAATTCAGTTACAAAGATGTTTAAATACAAACACTAATAATTGTACCTACTTGTTTACAATATTTATTTGTTATTTTTCATACTATGATTTCAAATTTATACATTTTTCCAATAAACATAATAAACAAAAATTCGTAGTAGGTTTGAGATTGATGATCTATTTTTCGAAGTCTGAGTAATTAGACTTTAATAGTCTGTTTTATATGGATTTTAACACATAATGTGTTGTATAAAATAACAATGTTTATTTTCTTTATAGGGCCTTATTATATAATGGTCTTAAAGAAACCGACGATTCAGAGGTAAAAATTAGTGAAGTATCAGTTACCTCATTTAAAATACTCCTTCAGTACATCTATACCGGTCGGATGAATTTAAGTATGCTCGAGGTAAACATTGTTTTTATTAAGGTTTTGTGATCTCCTAGCCGATAGTATGTGTTTGATCTGTTAAACTAAATTTTGCGTTTAATCGAGTAAATGGTTAATGAGAAAAGATTAATCAATTTTTTCAATTGTTTATTTTTTAGAATGACGTGGTTTTGGAATTATTTAGTATTTCGCACTTATATTGTTTATCAAACTTACATTTTTCACTGTCCCAGTATTTACGCCATCACATTATTGTACAAAATGTATGTTATTTGTTTGTTATGGCTCGAATTTATCAATACAAAGAGCTCGAAAATGATACACTGGACTTTATCGACAATCGCGCTACTGAGGTGTTGCAATATGAAGATTTCCTATCTTTGTCGGCCGTAAGAACCGAAATCAACACTACTCGTGTAGGATATGATACAAATGTTATTTTTAGGAAGTAATACAAGTCATTCTCAATCGTAGCACGGTGTGTGCTAATGAATTGGATATATTCCGCGCGGTTTGTCGCTGGATCGAAAACAACCAAGCCGATCTAGATCCTGATGCCCAAAACCAAATTTTATCTGCCGTCAGATATGTATTAATGAGCGATGAAGAACTGTCTGAAGTTAGGCGATCAGACCTGGTTAGTTTGGATACACTTTCGGCTGCCAAGCAATTAAGAAACACGTGGCCACCAGATATGCTTCAATTTCGAGGACAGCTAAGTATGCCTGCTTTACACATGATTTTGTAATACGTAATTTGTATTGGTTACAATTGTTTTATGTTCTAGAACCCAATGAGAATATCATTTATCGTACTCAAGGTTTTGAAGTGGTTAATGAAATTGACGGCAGTGTTATGATAAAGTTAGGTCATCCATCAGTCGTAAACTATATTGAAATAACGTTATGGAAAGGAGTTTCAAAGTATGTTTTTTAACTTTTTTTAATCAGAAACAGCCATTATTCAAAAAAATGTAGTTGAATTGTTGGAGTTTTTTTTATAAAAGATTTAATTATAATTAAACTAAAAAAAAATTAAAACTTTGTTTTATTAAGAAGTAGTTAATTATAATTTGTATTAAATATTTAACAACTATTTACACAGCTCTATTTATAATATTTAATTTTATTACAAACTATATTAAAATAATGTTATGGGATGACAATTAAAGGTTTTAACTTATTAACATTTTAAATCGAAATGGTCATGATTTAAAATTAATTGTATTTAAATAAGTATTCAAAACATTCGTGATATTTATTTTTGATTGATTTAATTTGTGTACCTACACCTATTTTTATTTATCTAGAATTTAATTTAATTATAAATAAAGCGTACAAATTTGTCAATGATTGAAATATTATTATCTATTCTTATTGTTTATTAAACCTTGATTGGAATTAGTTGTTCAAATATTGTATTCATTATCTTCGCATAACTCTATTTCTAGTATTTAAATCTCTATACTTGTTTAGAAATTACTACTCTACGAGTAATTCGAATTATTTGATACTTTAGGTATTTCTCTTATTACATTGAAGTTTCAATGGATCAGCAAAATTGGATGCGTGTTATAGATCATTCAAATTATGATTGTCGATCAAATCAACGTTTGTGGATTCAACCACGTATAGTTAAGTATATACAAATTTTTGGCACCAAAGGTACTGCTAATGCAACATTTAAATTTTGGAAAGTCATGTACAATATGGGTGAAATGCATATGGTAAAAATCAACAACGGATTTGTGGGTAAGAAAACCAATGAAATAACTCATCCTTTGAACTAAACAAATTATTATGTATAAATATATATTTGTTTAATTTTTGTATTTCAATCAAGTTCCTAAATATAATGTCGCTTCAAAATATTATAAGAATGCATGTATAATCAAAGGAGAATGTGATATAATGTTAGATGACGTTTATAAAAACCGTGATGGTCACTTTTATACACATCATCCGATGGAACTAAATCATTTTATATTGGTTCAACTTGCACAACCATATCTACTTAGTTCAATGAGGTAATAGTATAAATATCTTTGTAATTTGTATAGCAATCTTTTAAACATGCTGATTAGTCTCATATAAGCCTTTTTTTGACAATTTCATTTCCGGCCGCTAGAATAAGTTCTTTAATCAGAATAATGCTTATTTAAATGTTTATTTTTTTTGAATAGCTCCTTGATCTAAATTTATTTCGTAGGATGTAGTAATATACATGCCCCCCCCCCTAAATTATATTACTGCATTTGTCTAGCTATAATTTTACATATATGTGTTCTTGCTTATTGAAATTGATCTGCAGTTCATTCAACCAATTAGCAATCATCATGTAAATGGAAAGCTAATAACAAAATTATAATGATTTCGATCCTAACAACAATTTGGAAAATTTTAGTATCTTGGATAAAAATATTATAATTAATTAGATATTATTGTAAACAGCAGCAATGAACTTAAATCAATAACGTTTTATTCAAATAAATAATTCTAATAAAAAAATTGTTTTATGCACTTCATTGTTTTTGTTTAATTGTATTATTAAGTTTATATTTATCATTTTATTATGATTTTTTTAATCATCCGGTTAGGATTTTGTTTTTAGAAGTAAAACAAAATGTTTACTATCGCCAAAATTTCTGATATTCCTGAATTTCATGCAATATTTTACCAAGACCATTTTTGTCAAATTTGATAGGATGCGGCTCTGGGACCATGACGATCGAGTTTACAGTTACACAATAGAAGTTTCTGTTAATAATCAAGATTGGAAAATGATCGTAAACAAAGCTAATGAGCTGACCCAGTCTTGGCAGCTATTGCAATTTAAACCCACGATGATAGTGTATATTCGCATTACTGGCGTTTACAGTTCAGTAGGACATGTCAGTTCAATATAGTATGTGTTGTTAAAAAAAAAATTGATAACTCTTTTATGTTGTAGGATTTTCGTTGTGAATACTTTGAGGCTCCCGCTCAAGTAATGCTAGGTCCAAACGTCGTTGAAGACGATTGTGTGGTAACAATCACTTAAATATTTTGTTTAACTATCATTATGAGAGAATTGTTTTTTTCAGGAGAACAACGACACAGATATTACGATGGCAGAACCATCGGCTTAAACTCCAGTCGTTACAACGAATTAAAGATATTATTATTAAATTCAATTTTCCTCTTTGTTTTATGTTTGTTTAATGTAATTAAATTTTAGGATTTTCGTATTGTGAAAGAATATATTATATTATAATTTTTTATTATTCATAATATAATATAATTGAGGGATCTTTTATTTAGCCAACTATTTTATTCTTATTTCTTCCTTATAAAGCCTTTTCAACTGTAGGAATTCCTGAATAATTATTATCTACAATAATTGTTATTCCTAAACCTTACAAACCAAACAATTAAACTACTTCCTATAGACATATTAGCTTACTCCCACCTCTTGTCAAACTATTTGAGAAAATTATACTTATAAGAATAAGACCAATATTACTCGGGTGTTCACAAAATGCACAGCCTAACAAATCAAAATTCATCTTTTACCGAGAAAAAAACAATATTTTCGGGAGGGGGGGGGTTTGGATGTAGTACAGTCTCTTGACCATGTATGGCAAGAAGGCTTCCTCTTTAAACTCAAATTGTTTCTACCTGCTCCATATTACTTGATAATTCATTCTTATTTAGAAAATCGGTCTTATAGAATCAGATATCACCAAATTAAAGCAGAAGTGCACCAAATGACCTTTCCCATGATCTATTCAATCGACTGAATTGTCGATTCGACGTGGAATGTCCCGGATGAAATTCCAAAAACATCAAATATTATTATGGCCACTTATGCAGAAGACACTGCAATATTTTCCCCGGGAAATGACCCTGAAGTAATTTCCAATTACCGTTCGTTTTAATGCAAAATTTTTAAATTACGGAGGAAAACAATAAGGTTAAACATGATTATGGGATAGAAAACATATTATGTACCTGAAGTAAACGATAAAACGATGAAGGCTAAAAAAGAATTATACATGTTCGTGATGTATTGCTAATTATATATTGTCAAATTCTTGATCACTTTATAAAACAAAACAACTTAGAAAAAAAAACTTTATCAAAAGATATTGAGAGATAATTTGAGTATGTGTTTTTTTATTTTAATGTTGCATCATATTTCTCTATACTTCATGGGATATATTATGAATGAATAATCGAGTTCATATAAATTGCAAGGTTTTTATTTGTATAAGTACATAAACATATTATAATGTGTACAGTTTCCAACATTAAACACAGATTTGAAGCTGACGTCAGTGGTCGTGATCATATTTAATATTTGTTTTTGCAAAAAAGTCTTCTTACTATGAATCACAAGCTGCAGAGTATTTTTCTATATGATATTATCATGTATGTTTAGAAAAATATAAGCTTAGTTTTAGAGCAAAATCAAAATAGACCACTGATACAACTATTCATAATTAGCCAGACATAGTTTCATTCATAACGAAGATACACAAAAAATAAGCACAAAAATGGTTGTATCGAATAGAAACGTCATAATAATGTTCTGAAAGACTAGACGGAGCCTTAACTAACCTTTCGAAAAACTTGTTGGAAATAGCAAATTAGTCTTTAACCTCCTTAGATCATACGTTAATCAACTGGTCACTTACTAGTCAGTAAGGACATTACCAAATGAAAATTCCAAACTTATTAGTCTATTTATTATTACTAACGAACCAATAGCAAATAATTTAAGCGATAAGTTCCATAACTATTTACAGGAGTCAACGCTTAGAGATTGCTGCAATTAAATTATAAGAAATAAATTTATTTATGTATTAATAAAATATATTATTTACCTATAGTTGACCATAATATAATAAAGGCTAAAGTATAAATCATCATCGTGTTAAACTATAATATTGTAAATTATAATATTAAATGTTGAATACTTTATAAAACACTATAAAGAAAACTTTTTCAAGAGGTACCTATTGAAAACCAAATTCAACATGTAGTTTCGGTACCATAGCATAGCTTGAACACTAATTTGAATATGTGGTTTTTATGATACTAGCGTACCATAATTTTTCATAGGTGATACATTTTGAAAACCAAAAATTAAGTTTACAATTGGTGTACGGTTTTTTTGTTTAGACACATACATTCATAATTTAAAAACTGAGATCACGAGTATGTTTATTTATTTGTTAGTTTTTATCGGTTTAACGTCTACTATCGTCTATTACATACCTGAATGTAATACATTTTGTACTGCATAGTATTTTTTTGACCTATTCATTTATCATTTTTGCATGAGCTCATTGAAATATTACAGCTTTTATTTGTTGTTCCATCGGAATACATTTGATATCTTTAAAAATTATAGCAAAACTGTTCTTAACTTTATTAAATATTTAAGTTCGATTTAAGTTTTAAATGTTGATAAAACTTTGGAAAGTACTAATAAAATTAAATATTTAATAGAAGAAAAACAGCAATATTACTATAAATTTAGGAGATATTGAATGTGAATTATTTTGAAATTAATAATGTAATAAAACTATGTCCGTTACAGATTTAAGATTTAAAAGATGATAGAATATACAATTTACTTAAATCAGCAACGCTATACCTATTATACAATTAAAAATCGAAAGAGCATTTTCATGTATTTAAGGTGGCTAATAAACTTATCCTGTTTCTAACTAATATTTTAGTGTTTTCATAAGTCACCGATTTTTCAATAATAACTTTTTATCAAATTTAATAAATATAATGTACGTATTCTTTGTAAAAATTACATTTTTCAGAAATATTTTATTTTATTTTAAAAAATTATACCAGTTTGTGCAATAATTTAATAACATTTCAGGGTTTGTTTTTTTTTTTAATTTTATTTCTTGACCTAATTTCTGTATGATAAATTTCTATTCCCTTCAAAAACAACGCCAGTCAAATATGTCTTATCTTAATTTAATGAATTATGGTCAAAGTTTGGCTATTTAAAACTTTGACTATTTGATCACTTCATAAAACACTTTAAAAAAAACGTTGTCAAAAGATATTGAGAGCCAATTTGTGTATGTGTTTTTATTTTAATATTACATCATCTTATTCTATATGTAATAGGGTATATTATGAAAGAATAATTGAGTTCACATATGTTGGACGGTTTTTTTTGTAAAGGTCCCTACATAAACATATTATAATTTGTAGAATTTTCAACACAGATTTGAAGCTGACGTCAGTGTTCTAAATCATATTTATTATTTGTTTTTTTTGCAAAAAAAAAGCCTTCTTACTATGAATCACAAGCTGCAGAGTATTCTTCTTTATATTACTATTATATTATATTATTATATAGGGTGATTTTTTTATCATGAGCCACTTAATTTCCATAGGGTTTAATAAGAAATACAATTTTTTTTTCATAATGTGTTTTTACAATGTGATCTAAATTTTTCACAATTTTTTTTTGTTTTTTCTCCCTTCCCAACTTAGTTTTTTTGATAGCAACTTTTGAAACCTAAATGGTAACGTTATATTTTATTACGTTTTTAATTAAAGAATAATGTACTAAAAATGTTGACTGGTCGATAACCAGTTTCAGACAACTATTTTTGAAGTTATTGAAGTTTCAAGTTTAGGACAGGAGGAAAAGTGGAGTGGATTATTATTTTTATCTGCGCGCATTTCCCAACCTCACTACCCCTCCTATCCTAACCTTAAAACTCTTATAGCTTTAAAAATAGCTATCCTAAACTGGTTATCGACCAGTCAAAATTTTAGTACATTATTTTCAAACAAAAAAGTTAATAAAATATATAAGTCACCATTAAAGTTTCAAAAGTTGCTACTTAGGCCACATGCGAGAAGTTCTACACGGTTCGTCACAACTACCGAGATCTGGCGATCTGACCACGTGGTCCACCACACATACACTCGAATAATTGGTCGAGAAAGTCAAGTTTTTGAATTTACTCTCTTGATCAGCCTATTTTTAACGTTCTGTATTAGTGCTTTTATGCAACTAATGCATTACACATATGTGTACCTACTATATTGTAATTTAATTATTATTTTTACTGTGCATTATTGTATATAATATCATCAGTTGTGTGTGTCATAGGACCATGGATTAGAAGTAGGAGATTGAAAAATATTGTGGCATAGGTTGCTGGAAAATTATTCCAGCAAGACTGCCATGAAAGGTTAGGGTAGTTCGTACCGTATTGGTATGTTAACTTTGTTATGTTTGTCACATATATTGTATATTTCAACATTAACACGTTAAGTCTTAAAAATGATTATCAAAGTATGACAATATTTTTATGGATATATCTTTAGAGTGGTATTAGTAAGTTTTGAGCTTCTTGTTTCAGATTTATTTCGTATTTCAAACTTAAGACATAGATGTATTGAAATCTTAAGATTTCCTGTCTTTTTCACTCGTAGGACCAAAATCAATATTGCTCGTGTTAGAAAACTAACAGCGAAAATATCTTTTTTTTTGTAAACCATACACTTAAATTGTTAGCCAAAAATCGTCTATGCATTTATTTTTAACTTTCTTACCGTACCTTAAAATTACTACAAAATAAATAGTACCATCAATTTGACAATTAACCGAAGAACATCTAGACATTTATTTCTTGTTTACATTATTTCTTACTTAACCTGTTGTGAGAACAGCGTTGGACACTCATTTTTATACTTATTTTTGGTTTATGTTTTATAATTGAGTAATAATTTTTCAGAAATGTCTAAAATCCACAAAGGATTGACAACGATAAAACACAATTAACAGATTAAAAGGTATCTAATATTTTAAAAATAATTGTATAACTGACAACATAATGAAATAAGTAATTATAATTTACTGACAATTTTATGACAACCATAAAACAAATAAAAATTTAAGGTAATTGATTACAAATAATAGAGCAATAAATTATATAGTAAAATAGATATTAACATCTGTCAATATTGATAAGCGCACAAGGAATAAAAACATGCTTATAATTTAAATTTGGTTGACAGGAAATTGAAACGATGTTTCTGATATGGCATCAACTGTTTCGTTATTCACCTAAAAACAAAAATGCTCGTTAAATTTTTATCATTAAACAATTTTACTAATAAAAAATGCAATACAGTGAAAAATTCCTGAGTACAAATGGAAAATAATATTATGTAAGTATGATTTTAGCTTTTATATATATAAAATCTATCAACTTGCGAGGTATCATTCGTTACCCAACGAATGGTAGAATCTAAAATGAGATCACGACTCTTTTATCTGTCTAGCTATATGATATCCACTCATCTATTTTTGGATTAGACCTTCTTGTAAGAATGGACAGTGAATTTGAGATGCTTTGCCCTGGATAAGTTTGGCCAGTGTAATACAGAGGCAGAAGTGTATACCGAATGGGTGGTATACCGCATATCTGCTACAAAAATTGCTTAAATCTTTCTCAAGTTGTAATAGAATACGTCAACCATCAAATACAATTTTCATTGAAATTAACACCAAGCTACTCAGTTGAATGATTATAGGAGACTGGAGAAATTAATTCACCCTTGAGTTATGCTATGTCTATGTCTTTTGGAACAAGGATGTCATTTTCAATGTTCAAGAGTCCGATTTGCACTCCTACCTGCAGTTTCGACCAGTATAGCACTACTAATTAAATATCTTACTATTCTATAATAAAAAAAAACAACTAAATTTGATGTAACTAACCTTTAATTTCATACCGCGTGATCGTCTTTATACGATGTCGGATTTTAGTATCCCTGGAGACTACCAGATTTTGCGGTTTATGTGGTGGCCACGCTTTTTTAAATTGTAAAGCATCCAAACCAACCAGTTTTGATTCCTTAACCTCAGAGAATTCTTCAACATTCATCAATGGAAGTCTGACCGCCGATAAAACTTTGATTTTAGTATAGGCATCTAGGTGGTTTTGGTGCTCTTCGATCCAGCGACCAACAGCACGGGATATATTACCCAATCCGTTTGCATGCAACGAGTCACGAATGAGAATTTCTTGTAGAGCTTCCTAAGAAAAAAAAAAAATTGTTTCAAAACTAGTCATCCAACACGAGCAATATTGATTTTTTTATTTTAGAAATATCCCTTACGGGTGACAAGGATAGGAAATCTTTAGATCGCAATACATCCAATGCGTGGTTGTCGATAAAAATTAGTGATTCGTCTTGGAGATCTTTGTATGGATAAAGTCGCGCCTTAGCAAACGTCGAGCATACATTATCTACGTTAATGTTACTACGCAAATACTTGGACAGAGAGTGTTGTAAGTTTGGAAAACCAAAGATATCCGAAATACTAAATAGTTCCAAAACGACTTCATCCTAAAAAATAAAAATGTTTTCCCCAATTAAACACATAAAACACAACCAATTGACTAAACCATCACACAATCATAAAAAAAAAATTACTGTTTATGCCATTTGAATAGCGCTAAAGTAAATCGATTATACTTTACCTTTAGATCACTTAAATTCATCCGACCGGTATAGATGTACTTAAGAAGTATTTTAAACGAGGTTGATGTTACTCCACTAATATGCACCTCAGACCGAAGGGATTCTTTATCTTCAAACAATATGGTGCTAAAAAATTATACACAATATTATACAAACAGTAAATTGCATTTGATATAGCCCTGTAAGGCACAGTATATTGCAGTCCAACTCATGTGAACTAAAAATAATATAAATATTACAAAACTATAAACATCTTAACCTAGTGCTGGTTTGTTTTATACTCAAAAATATGTCGGCTGGTTAATTAGAAAATTGGCAATAATGTAAAAAAAATAGCCAAAATAAAAATAACAATGAAAAATTGAATATTATAGATTTTTGGCAAATTAATTTATGTTACATATACTAATATACCTGAAATATTTACTGCGTGAAGCCAACACAAAACGATGGGCAGGCAATTCTATATCATCTACAACCAAAACAACATCCGAAAACCTAAAATAAATATTAAAATTAGTTATTATTATAAATATGTATACTAAAATTTAATAATAATTTATGTAAAATTTAGGATATTTAAAATATATATATATACAAAGTAGTTAAAATAATAAGATCGGTAACAACTTTTACATTTTTTTTTTTTTTTTGAAAATGACATGTTGATTAAGAAAATGCACTTATTGTCTTTTTAGCTTCAATACGATAGCTGAGAAGGTATTAAATGTTTCATAATGATTTGTTTTTTTTTCTGTGTTTCTTTAGACATGATATCTTTTTGTCCTATGGATCGAGTTACTTGTGTAGCATCTATATAGATTCAAAATCGTATGCAGATGATAATTAAATGGGTTAAAAATAGAAACCAACCACAACCAAACCATGTACAGTATAAATCAATACATAAGAGGTTAGCAATGTTAGGTTGGAACGATTATAAAATCTGAATATACTTTTATCACAATGAAACGCTTCGATGCGAATCTGTGTCTACTGGACCCCACTTTGGTAATTTTGCTGTGCTGGGTTAAACTATGCTGGATTTTTTTTTTTTAGCTAGTATTACAATGTCACAATGTAGACCGGTATTCGTTTTTTCGATATAAAAAAAACCAGAATTTTTTTTCCAATGTAAATTTCAAAGGCTTTAAAGGATTGTAAAACAATATGGAATATATGCTAGTTTTAACATTTTTTTACAAATGTTAGGGTAATACATTTAATAATGTTTGTGTGTTGTGGGATAACTTTTATACATAAGTCATTGTTAGCAAACATATTATCAATTGGCTTACACTACATTGTGTAAGATTAACAATATGGACCATAAATCCAAATGTACAAATAATATAATATTATAATACCAAGCCAATATATCCAAATGTTGCTTTTTTAATACAAGTGGTTTACGAAAATATTTATATACTGATAACACCATAATAAAGGTGAATAAAAAAATTCAGTAGGTACAGTGAGGTCGGGGTTGGGGCCTACAGGAGTAATATAGCTGAAATTGATAAAATCACTTAAAAAAAAACTCTTGGATGCGAATTCGCGAACAGTGAGTTCAAACCAAGCTTAGTTTAAACCAGTATGTGTAGTATTTACATTTGTCATCTTATTACAGGAATAACACTTTATAATGTTAACAGAGTGTGATCAATTTTGGGCTAGGGTATAAAAAAACTGTAGGTATATAATATAAACATGCTAAATTTTGAATATACTAATGTCTATAGATAAAAATTCAATACCGCATACCTGTCCTTTAGATACAATTTGCTCATGTCATTGATCAAGAACTGAACGTGATCGATTTGCATATTACTGGGCTGTTTGGCTTTAGAAGAAGATGACATACCATCGAGAGGATCAGACCATGCTAAAAAAAATTAAAAAAACAGCTGATTTTGCGAAAGTGGTGTGAAATTTGATTGTAGAATGTAGAATATAATTTTTTAAATATACCAGTACATATAATAAACTGAAGCTTAAAAAAATTATATTTTAAGATACTTAAGACGTACAAAAGACGTAAGGAACACTCGTTGAGAACTAGGCCGAGCTTGCATCAAGTCCAAATAGCCACCTTAATAAATTAGCTCAGCCTACGGCAATAATGCTAAATTTTATAGTTATGGAATATAATTCCTACTATAACACTAAAAAAATTATTGTGAGGTCTTTGTGTACACCGATGGTTAAAATTGGCATTTGTATAATTATTAAACGTCCATTAGTGACGTCTAAAAGTTCATATTTTTCGACAACAATTTAAGACAGAGTAAAAGATAATCATAGACAAATGAATAAAAAAACTGAAGTTTGATAGATGCACACTTCCTTTTCATGGATTTTAAGAAATCATATGATAGATAGAGAAAGGTTGATCAATGCCTTGAAAAAATTTCATTTCCAAGACAAATTAATAAACCTGGTTGAGATAATAATTTATAAAAATTAAATTAGGAAATATAAGAACGGGTTCAGTATAAGTTACATTGGTCTTAAGACAAGAGTACGCCCGTCACCATTCCTATTCAATATACTACTAGATAAAGACATTAGGGAATATTAACAATATTGTTCCTTAAGTAATACAATGTCAAGGATAGACCATAGGAGTGCTGGCATATCCAGAAGACTTGGTCTTTATGTAGAAATCACAATACGGATAAAAATCATTGTTTTATTGATTGGAACAAGCAGCGCTGAAAATTGGATATATGTAACTGAGGATAGAACGGAGTAAATTGTCGCAAAGAATAGATAACATGCGGATATATTCATCCCATAACGTCGGTAAACACAATTTTAAAGAACGAATGAATATCTAAGATCAGTACAGAGAAAAATAAATATTGTAGCGAATTCAGTCAGGAAACAAATGTTTCTATGGTCTTATGAAATTGCTTGGATTACAATCACTATCATATGAGAAGAAAAATCAATTATACACTACAATGCTACGCTTTGTATGTACTTATGGCTTAGAGACATGGTCAGTAAGGAAAAGTGATGTAAAAAAAATCTTAGTTTTGGAAAGAAAAATTCTATGAAAGATTTAATTTATCACAGTGGAAGATAATCAAAGAGAATAAGAGAATATGAAATTTAAAGTTAATGTAGGTTAAAAAACATTTTTAAGTTCTCTATAAAAAAACACGAGTAATATACCTATATAGTAAATAAATTTGGAGGGATTTGACCTTCAAGAGCTATAGTAAAAAATAATATATTAATAATAAACAAACACACTAAAATCAGATAAGCAACATACAGACTATTGTGTATTGTATTATTGATATTATCTGATAATTAACAGTAAACATTACTCTTAAAATAAAATAGCATAGAACATAATAATATCCATTTACAGTATAAGAAATTTTGAGAGGGGGGAGGGTAATTTTTATACCGCCGTGCAACAACGGTCTTTCCATGTGATGCATGTGACGCGAGTTGTCGAAATAGCACGTGAGCTCATGTAAAACTAATAATAATGTGTGCCCACCTCAAGTGTCTATAAGACCTACTGCAGGGGTACATCTAGCGCTTGTCTAGCGGACAACTAACAAACTAATGTCGGAAAGGTTTTAAACATTCGTTTTAAAACTATAGTGGTTTTTCAGTAAAAAATCCCATATTACACGTATTCACAAGTTCCGACATTAATATGACTATTTCCCACCAGAGCGCGCTGATTTCAATCAAGTGTGAGGTGTCTATAGTATGTGAAAAAAACAAAAATATTATTATATCAACAAAAAACTCCAAAATAAATGTTTATAAGAAGGTAGAGTGCCTAATCTAACCGTCCAATGAGCTTGTGCAAAAACGTAGAATTCGAAGCTTCACTCTTCATTGAATTTACCGTATACGGTAGAAAATATTTATAAAAACATAAATGGACAAAATAGAAAAAACCACAGAAAATGGTGGACTGTCTATTATAATGTTAATAAAATAATCTATGTAAGTGTGTATAAAATAAATGATATACCTGTAGTTGATCTTAAAATGATGAAAACTAAAAAATAAATCACCGCCATCATGTTAAACGTTTTTTAATACGATACCAAGTAGGTACTCGAAGACTGAATAACCTACTTTTTGTAAAAAATAGTCATGGTACCTAGTAGAAACTGAATACACCTATGCAAATACGCAGTTTTACCATTTTAACGTTCTGTCTTTTTCTGTATTCGATTGGAAAAAACAATTTAAACCAAATATTATGTATATACAATTGGCGTATGGCTTTTTGTGTTGTTGCCCGAAAGTGTTGTTGTTGTTGTAAATTGTGCAATATCATCCACTGATACCTAACCTGATGTACAACTTATACACCATTGTAATAATCATTTTGCTTCTACATAAAATGTTTTTTTTTTTTGTAAAATAGGCCATCCTCCGTAAAGTGGTATGAAAAATATATTTAGGTACCTCACTTATAATACCTCAATTTATAAGGTGTGCTATCTTATCGTCTGATTATTATAATATACTAGCTGCCCCATCTTATTCCAGTATACCTATATTAAGATAAAAATACATGATCAAATCATTTAATCATCCGTTTGATTAATGTAATTAAATTTTAGAATTTTCGTACAATAAATGTAATAATTGAGGGACGACCGTTTAATTATTAGCCAAATGTTTTATTCTTGTTTTGTCCTTACGATATGCTTGTTATGGTTCCAACCATATAGAGTGGTGTGGTAACGTACGAAAAGAGAAAAATTAAAACTTTTACTAAAACATTTATAGTTTTAATATTTCTTTTTAGACACGTATTAAATAGTATAAATTTATACTATACACAAAACGCTCTAATTTGTGAGTTTCAGAATTTCATCAACTATTGAAACAAATTCCATTTTTGTAAAATTAATTCAATATCTATGTTGTCGTTAGACTTTCGAATGTCGATAATGCTTTGGAAAACACTAAAAAAAAAACTCTGTGGGCTGTTTTCGTTTAAATCTAAAATATCAATCCGTTTTTTTAAATCAATAAAAACAAGCCAGTACAGTGGGGTTGGGGCAAGTGATAAAATTACTTTCAAACCAACGCTTCAATGCGAATCAGTAGTTAGTATTTTTAAAACAGTTAAGTCCAAACCAAGCACAGTTTAACTAGCACAATAAGAAAGTATTAAAATTAGATGCAGTGTTTACAAATTAGCATCAAAGCGTTTTTTAAAGTGAAAAAGCACATAAACCGGATAAATATCCGAGTAAGCCAGTACACTGGAGTCGAGGCATAATGGGATCAAAGCATAGTGGGGATGGAGAGGTCACAGGTCTACAGGAATTATTATTACACTTAAGTAATTGATAAAACTACTTTTAAATACAATTTAAATTGCTAAAATTGTTAAAACATGATACAGAAGGAATCAAAAATGTAATGATTGTTTATATTAATATATTTTATACAGAATGTATACGATTGTATATGTGAGCTAAATTTCCTTTTCTGACTACTCTGCAAACAAACATGATTCATGGACATTATTATCAAGGACTAACGTCAGTTTCAAATCTGTGTTTTCTCTTTAATGTTGTAGAACAAAAAAATATTTATGTAGCTAACCGTTTTATACCAATTGTATACAACATTTTTCCTTTAAAATAGTATTATATCCTATCAAGTATAGAAAAATATCGTACACTATTAAAATAAAACTACATAATAAAATTGTTTTTCAAAATCTATTAATACGTTTTCTTATTTTCTTAAGAGTTTTATAAAGTGTTAACAATATGATGATCGTTTATGTTTTAGCTGCAATAATTTTAAAGGCAAATCCAGGTACCAACAGAATTGTAGGACGGAGTCTAACGTCTTGACTTTTTCTATATTTTAATACTGGACGATCATCGTGTTAAGTTGTTAACAATAACATGTTTATTCGCCTATACAAAAAACCTTCACCAATTGTATACACAATTATTCGTTCACAGTGCATCATATCGAATATAGGAAAAGATAGCACAGTGCTATCAAAATAGAAATACATATTAAAATTGGATTCCAATAGCTATGACCACGTTTATAAGTGTATAAGTACTTGACATCATATTAATATGTATAACACGACGGTGTTAATTTTTGTTTTAACCTTTATCGTTTTAAGTTCATATCCAGGTAAATAATATAAGCTAATTTGACATTTTTTGCAAAAACCTATTGGAAGTTTAGTTAAGGCCGCTTACACATCTGCTCATATCGTTTGCAAAATCAGTTATTATTTTTTTTTTTCAGCATGTTCTGATCTTGTTGAGAGTACACAGCAGTCCATAGACAAACAGCAAAGTAAAAAGCAAATCGATCATGCTCACTTGATGATTAACGACATTAGCAGTCTGCATCTAAGCGACAGGTATGCGTTATAGTGTTTCTACCAATTAACCTTAATATGTTTGGTATTGATTTTACCTACTACTTTAGGAAATGTTATTTTTACTGTATAAAAAAAAATGAAACCAGTTAAATACACAAATTTTAATATATATTATTTTAGTTTTTGTATCTGGATAATATTACCTGATAAAATTATATACTTCAGGTTTTCAGATATCGTTTTAGTTGTAGATGGTGAAAGATTGCCGGCCCACCGTGTTGTGTTAGCCTCACGCAGTAAACAGTTCAAGTATTTATTTCTCATAATTAAGCATACTCATTTGGTAGTAATCATAGCGAAATGGAACTTTATTTTTATAGTACTTCTGAAAATTAAATCAAATGTATTAATATTATTTGCGGTTGTTGACTAAGATTTAAACTATCTTTTAAAAAACATTAATAGTAAACAAATTCCTTGGTGATAAGCTGATTACTGTATTGTAGACCACTTTAAACCTTTAGTTGAGTGTAACTGTAATTTTGTAAATTGTTTGAAAAATATGTAATGTAATCATTACATTTTTTTTAAAACAACCATGATAAATTTCATTGAAAAAAAAAACGCACCTGCACCAATTACATTTATGTTAAGTGTCATATTATTTTCGAATATTATATTATGAACATTGTCCATCTTACCGAAAGTAAGTTTGTGGTAATTTTTAGACTTATTATTACCATGCTATTTCAGTCGGTAAAATTATACTTCAATTGATTGTGCCTAGCCCAGAGAACTCATATTGTTTGTAATACTATTAAGTGTTATTTTTAGCGACCTATTGTACAACGGTCTTAAAGAATCCTATCAGATGGAAGTGCTAATAAAAAAAACATCAATAACTTCATTTAAAATACTTCTTCGGTATATTTATTTTGGTCGAATGGATTTAAGTATTCTCGAGGTAACGTATAGTCGACGTCGTTTACCGGTTTTTAAAACGGCATAAACAATGCTATTATACCGTTGTGTGATCGTTCAGTAGATTGTTTGTGTGATTAATGATATTTGTAATCTTCGAATACCATTACTTTGATTCGTCAATAACGTAAATGCGGTCAAATGAATATGTCAATCCACGACAGCATTAACACATAACAGTGAATACAATTTTTTTTTTTTTTTTTTGTTAGGATAAAGTCATTTTGGACTTATTTAGGATTTCGAATTTATTCGGTTTAACAAACTTAGAACTTTCACTGTCCGAGTATTTGCGCAGTAACATAAACTTAGACATTGTGTGCTCGGCGTATGCTGTGGCACGACTTTTACAATGCAAAGATCTCCAAGACGGTTTACTCGAATTTATCGACGACCACGCATTGGATGTATTGCGATCCAAAGATTTCCTATCCTTGTCACCCGTAAGGATATTTTTAAAATAAAAATTATAGTACTCGTGTTGGACTACTAGAGTTGTGAAACAATATTTTGTTTTTTAGGAAGCACTACAAGACGTTCTCATGTCTCGTGACTCGTTCGTTGCTGAAGAATTGGATATACTCTTGGCGGTTTGTCGCTGGATCGAAGAGCACCAAAACCACCTGGATCCCGATACCAAGACCAAAGTTTTATCTGTCGTCAGATATCCGTTAATAAGTGATGAACAGCTGTCCGAAGTCAGGGAATCACAGTCGGTTAGTTCGGATTTTATTTCGGATGCGGTGAAATTGATAAACACGTTGCCACCGCATAAACTGAAATTGCGAGAAAAAGGAAGTATGAGAAAATTTGTAATTTTTAGACAAATTATGTTAATGTCAACTATTTCATTTTTTAGAAAAAAATATCAATTTTGCCGATCCTTCTCAAGGCAGTCCAGTTATCGTTGAAAACGGCAATGCTATTACGCTGAAGTTGAGTCATCCGTCATTTGTAAACTACATCGAAATCAATTTACTACATCCCGTCGAAGGTTATGATGATTTTTCTTACGAATGGTACGTCCTGTATAATTAGTTATTTATGACTTTTATTCGTTATTCGAATGGTTTTTTGCATATAAGATTACCAAATTTAATTGTTTGACTTGTTTACTAAATAAAATGTACACAACGATTGATTTGATTTCTTTGATCCTTTAGGTCTTACATTTATTACGTTGAAGTTTCGACGGATCAACACGATTGGGTGCGCGTTGTGGATTATTTAAATTATAACTGTCGATTGATTCAACGTTTGTGGTTTCGCCCACAAGTAGTTCGGTATATAAGAGTAGTCAGCAACATGCCTCCAAATTTAAAATTTTTAAAAGTAATGTACAATACGCACAAAGTGAAAGTCAAAAACGGATTAGTGGGTGAGAAATCCTAAAAAAGACGACTATTCTTTTAATAATAAAAATACATACAATAATATATATTCCTGATTGACTTTTTTCAATCAAGTCCCTAAGTCTAATGTCGTTTCAATATCTATGAATGCATCCATAATCGAAGGAAAAATTTATACAAATTACCGTATGCCGTTAGATGGCAGTTATACTGACTGGTATGGTTATTACAGTTTTATATATCATGTGCTGGGATCGGGTTGTATAGTGGTTCAACTAGCACAACCGTACATACTTAGATCAATGAGGTAATATATTTAGTTTTAAAATTATTCCAAATATATGTAGTATTTGCTTGTTTAATCATTTTACTCGTCAACTGGTGTTCTATTAGATTGCCTAATTGATTGTATGCTGAATGTATCAGAATCATTTTTTTTTATGTCTTAGTTATTGATATTTTAATTTATACTTGTCCTTATACAAATTAAACAAGTATAGACGTCTCTTTTTCTTACTGATACCACTTTGCTGATACTTCTCTTCATTGTTAGTTTGGTTACATTGCTTCAGCATACAGCGTGGTCTAACTAAATGTCTTTCTTATTAACCATTTTGATTATTGAACCCTCATTTCTCCAAGCGTGTCCAACCAATATCAAACATCATCATTCTTTTTAAATAATTATGTAAGCGAATCAACCTTAAAATTTGATTATTTTGATAAATTATTATTATTTTTTAATTAATAAATATTAAATAAATTAAATTATTATCAAATAAAAGCAACTATGTATTAATGCCTGAATAACCAATAAGGTGCATAAATACATTTTTACTCTGATTACTAGTTAAAAGAAAAATGCATTGATATATATTATATAAATCTATTTGGGTTGAGCTCGTTTTAGCTGTTAGACTCCTTATTTATTTAGAAATAAGAATTGATTTTCATTTCATTTTTTATTTGTTAGTTATTTATGAAGATTAAAATAAATATATTTACATATTCGCCGAATCGTAGTATTCACGAATTTTGTTAGGTTTTATTATTTTTGCATAACCCTGGTGTTATGACCAGTTTAGTATTAAGACTAGGCTGTTATTGTTATAATTTAAAGGATACGGCTTTGGGATGGCGATGGCCAATATTACAAATACATTGTTGAATCTTCTGTCAATTACTGGAAATGGGAACCTATAGTAAACAAATCTGAGGAGCTGGCACGATCTTGGCAGGTGTTTCAATTTGAACCCAGGCCGATTGTATACATTCGTATTACCGGCAACTACAGTTCAACAGACAATGTGAGTTTAATTGCTGTATGATTATTTTTTACATTGTTTATAATTCTTTTATGTTGTAGCTTTTCCGTATTATACTTTTGGAGGCTCCCGCTCAAAAAGCGTCAGGTTCGAAAATCATTGAAGTCGAGCCTGCTGTAGAAAATAATGGGGTAGGTCAAAGTCAAGATGTCATATTATATTATAATATATTTTATCATAATATAGTTATTATTATCATATGTTAAAATTTTAACGAGAATTTCTGTTTTCAGACAAAGGACGAAACAGATATGATAAAACCGTCGGCGGCAGAAGATTCAGCCATTTAAATCAAATTGGAATTACAAGCATATGTATAGCGAATTACACAGACATTAATATCAAACTACATTACATTGTTCTGTTCTTTTTTTTCACCTATAATATCTATTTATAAATATTTGTATTTTAAGTTTTATGAATAAAAATATTATTTAGAATTAGCACGTTATGCAATTTAAGCATATATTAACATGTAATAACAATTGTAGAGTACTTTTAATTTTCCATTTGCCAAAAATAAAGATTTAGTGGTTTAAAACTAAGGGTTTGGTCTATTTGTTCAGCAATCGGAGTAAGGAATGGTATAAATTAAAAATGTTGAGGTTCACCCCGACCAGTGGGCTTGGGACACACTAAACTAGATGTAGGTCCTAAAAGGAACTGAAGGAAGCCGCTACAGATAGAGAAGTATTGAAGATCATTTTACCATTACTACAATTTACGATGTAAAAAAAAAACCAGTAGCTCTTAAACTTGTTAGGGAATACACCACAGCCAGCGGACGTAACCTACACTAAGGATATAAATTAACTAGTAGCAACTTAATCGTTGAGAAACAAGTAAGGAACTATATTTAATTCATAATCAGAGTTGGGCTAGTGACTATAACTGGTTGCAGCTCTAAAAAAATGGGTATCCAACAATGAACACAAATAAAGGACGAACTAGCTTCCCAATACGCTGTTCGACACTTTCGCATATTATTTATACATCTGTGGAATATTTCACTAGCGGTTTTAATAAATCTCTGTTATTTTTCCAATCATTTGAATAAGATCACATGTTGGTCATATTTTTAAAAATAGTGACAATATGAATATTAAGAACTATAGACCAAATTCTTAGGTTCGATTGTGCTGAAATTATTTGAAAATTTAGTAGCTTAATACAAATTTTCTTTTGATAAATACATATATTATTCCTGAATAACGTGGTTTAGGGATAATGGGTTTAAAGAAGGATGCGGTTGAGGCAGCAAGGAAGTCAGAAGCCTCGTTGCCAACGATCCCAGAGAGACCTCTGAAACTGCACTATTTTTTCAGAACAGGAAACACGGGACAAGAGAGACATTATAATATTGAGAATAAGGGAAAACAGTTTAGAACTGAAGGTATCGGAGGAGAGAGCAAGAACACAAAGCTGGAAATCAAGGAGCAAAATGGGTGGAGTGTGGACCAAAGTAACTTATAGAAATAGACGAATCTCTGTTTAGAGGCAAGAGAATATATAACTTTTTAATCATCTAAAGTAAATAATATTTTTGTATGTACAATAACACGCATTAATTCTAATAATTGAATAGGTGTAGTAGGCCACCTGTAAAATATTGGCAGATACCAGTTGTCTGGTAAGTCACCTGCTAAACGAATGCCAAAAAAAAGTGCTCTAAGACAATTGTATGTAGGTAGGCGGGTATAAAATTTCGGAATTTCCGAACTACGGAAAAATAAATAGAATATAGAGGCAAGGACTCGAATGTTTTAGTGGTATATTGCCAAGATGTTTTAACATAATAGAATAATTGAAAAATAGATCATTTTGGAGAGGATAAAATGTTTTTTTTTTTTACTGGCTCGTATCATTGCATGTCGAAGGCATTACAAAAAATTGTACGATATTTATTTACATCGCATGTATTGAGTATATTTTTTATTCTGTGTATTTACATTTGTTTTCCAGTGTTGCCCAAAAGCTACTGTAGGTATGGTAACTCCGGGGGACACACGCCTAACATACAACAGACTGACACTTGACAAGTGTGTTACATCGACTCCGCGTCAAAGCATTTCAGCCAATGTATGCAATTTACCAATGTCGGCAGAAACCAACGAAGACGCATGCAAACATCCAAAGTCAAATGTATCTGGTCTTCCAGACCAGCCATGCTTGCCCCGCGATTTGGCCGGACTTAACATTAACGTGCGCAACATAACCACTTGCTTTAACGTGAAAACTCGTTTGAATCTAAAAAAACTCGCCCGGACAGGATACAACACCGAACACAAATACTTTAATTCCGAGGTAACTCATAGTCGTATAAGCGTGTCCAATCTCCACCGGGTTTGGGGTTTGTTAATATTGCTTACAAAATTTGAAGATACATCCGTTCGTCAGAGTTTAAGTGATCCAATGTTGTCTGTTGGAGGGAAACCGTGTAAATAGAGAATTTTAACGGAGATGATAGATGAAACTTGAGCAAGGCCTGGAAACAGGTTAGGTTAGATAGTTACCGACAAGAAAAGAAGACGGAAAGGGGGTGCTACCTCAGAGACGACGGGTTCAGTCTACACTGCAATGTGCGAAACTTCTGTGATTTGTTATAATGTCGTGTATCTTCAAATTGTGTAAATAACAATGGGATAGGTGGATTACTGGGTGCTTCTTCTTCGACTCGTATGTCTATTTAGATCCATCGCTACACCACACTCCGCTCAATTCAATAATTAGTTTACTATCGTAAAATCGTGGCACTATCCGTCTACCGTCGTTTAGGTTTAATTTAACCCGACCCGATTTGATCTCCAAAGATCCAAAGATCTCCTTACTGGTAAAGTACACTAGATATCGCTGTTATTTATAAACTTCAATATCCCTTCACACTCTCTGTATTTCTTATCCTACTACAATAACCATCTTCAACACGGTTTGTTCTTTTTAGTGTCGTATATAGTATATTACATTAGCATTAGGCTCGCAGCCAATAACGACCCTGCTCCTTTAACTACAAAACTGAGTTTCGACCTCTTAAATTTAGTGGCAATGATTCCTAACAGTCATTGTCTTTGTTGGAGAACACATTAATTATTATTTATTAGTATTAGATAATAATTTCTCATGGCCCTTCTAAACACAATATTTTTTACTGCCTACTGGCTCGAATGTAAATCCTATAATAGATACTTTGCCTTTTTTATCTCGAATATCCGCTTGCTCGTAGATGCTTACTATGAAGTTGCGCAAGCCCAATGCCACGGCTATCATATGGCCGAGTGGGAAAGTTATTTGTACTAGGACCGTAACGGAACACAATGCGAGAATGGCGGCCAGACGTATCGCCAGGATCATTCAAAGACTAGATAATCCAAATGTGATATTTGGCAGCTACAAAATCGTCAACGTGTTCGGATGTTGTACGTTGCCGTTCGCCATTCAGCTGGTGCCGTTCGCCCAAAAGTACAAGTCAAACGTCATGTAAGTGAACTAAGTAACTAAGTATATTGTATAACTATAGGATGATTCCCGTTGTTTCTGGATAGCGTACAGGGGTCCTTGTTCCTACAATATATTATCCACGCGAGTGGATTGGATCTCTCATGAGCTGCCCTAAAGGAAAAATAGGAATTTTACTTAAAAGATGGACCCTGGGAAATACCCATGCACTCTGACCTGTAAGTAGATTGCGATGCTGTGTCTTATTGAGTCTGATAGCTACGTGTGTCAAAGAGTCCCGAAACTTTTGAGAAATTCAGTATCTTTTTATTCTCACGTCTTTGAATTCATCCTTTCTGAGAAAATGTTTGCCAAAGTAAAATTGTTTTAGATTAACTGAAGTCACAATTACACATAATGTGGTGTGAAGTTTCCTCCTTCAAGAGGATTTTTAAAAAAACATTTTTAACATACCTGTTCGAAGGATGCTCGATGAACATCTTTGACTGTCCACGTACCACCCGGTGCCTCCATATTTCCCTATGTCATTCTCTGCTCGTAGCTTGCTAGTGTCCTAGGTGCGAGAATCCTCTGTCTTACCACTGATTCAGAGACAATTTCACTTAGTTATTTCTCATTAAAATTTTTTAATTTGTTCAGCTTTCAAAGACCGATTTTGAAATCACTTGAGTTTTGCCGAGTGCCTTCAGAGCTCCTTGGTTTACTAAGGATGGTGATGTTTATTTCATTGAATACTTTTAGATTTTGAACACCCACTTAGATCGCCATCGCTTCGGATAGGCCAGCACATGATATGACTAACATGTTAGTTATTCTTGATCTACGCCTTTTAGTAGGTATATTCTTATGTTCAGTTAGGTCACTACGTTTAATTCAACCGCCTACATTAAGTAGTCCTTATAATTATAAATTTTTATTCGAATAACGTAATTATTTAAATAAATATGTATTTATGATATTTACCAGATATGAACCCGAATTAAACGTGGGAGTCATCTACAAGATAACCGAACTCCAAGCTACGCTCACCATATTTTCTTCGGGCACAATAACTGTGTATGGTAAGAAAAACACAAATAAACTATCATAATAATTGGTTGCATATTAAATATTTCCTCATTTTCCAGTCAAGAGCGTGGAAATGGTCAAAGAGGCTATACATTACATATATCCTTTGATATATCCGTTCCGGAAAAATCGATAAGTCGCAGCACTTTGAATTATTTGCCGACAACTTCATTAAGTACCTAGTGATGTTATATATTTTATGTTTACCTGTTTTAGATAATTTACCATTGAACATTTGACGAATAAAACATTATAACCGAAATCAATCATTCTTATACAAAAGGATCTATATTAACCAAAATAATTATAACAGTGAAGATCTTTGAAAATGGCGCACAAAAAAAAACATAATCTATAGTTTTACAGTTTTAATAATTTAAAATGAATACAATAATTAATATAAAATTATAATTTCACGAAATTGTCGTTATTACATATTGTATATTAATTTCTTAAGGCACTGGCTATTGATAACAAAAATATATATTCAACAATCGTTAATAATAAAGTCAGTCTTTTGAAACAAATATAACATTAAAAAAAAATAGCACTAATAACGTAAACATTTTGCATATTATATTTCTCGTATAATGGTTAATTCGTATCGATAAAAGATGTATTATTGTACTTGAACATACACAACATTATTATTATATATATTATAGTATTTTTTCAACAAAAAAAAAGTAGACAAAATCTTTAAATTTAAAAAACTTAATTATACTATTTAAACTTTACAATCATTGATCGGATTATGAAATAAAAATATAATAGTTGAGGTAATTTTCAAAAACATTAAACTAAAATAAAAATAAACAATTGTTATTTTCAAAACTGTTAGTAAAATTATATAATATAATTAAATTTCAACATAGTATAATTAAAATAATCAACGTTATTACTATTTGTAAAAAAAACATATATATTGAGTAGTTTTTTTCAATTGCGTCCGACAAAGTCAATTTACCGTAAATTGCAAATTAATTATCGTCAAAACACAATATATTTTTTATTATTTTTGTACTTTGTTAAGTAGTTAACAAACGGTATTATGATATACTATTCTTACATTCTAAAATAGTATACTTTTAAAAACCAAGTCTTGCGCTAAAACCTACGATTGGTTTCCTAAATAACTAAATTTTCACTGATACAAGTCCTATTGTCTCGAGTCTCTTCCGTGATCACTCGTTTAAATCACAGCTAAAATATAATTTTATACAATAATGGCAACCACTTTTTAAAATAAACCTTGTATGGCAACGTATTTGCATCTTGGCTCTTTAAGACGTACACATTATAATATAAATATATAAATAAATGTAATTACTTAAAATTCAAATTAAAAACCATAATAATAAATATGATAAAAATAAAAGTTGTTAAATAAATATTTTGGTCGTTGCCGATAGTGTTTTTATTTAGAGTTCCAATTCCACGGAATGCATATTTGACCATCGGACATGATACAATAATAAGTGGTGATGCACACTCGCATGCCGCTGAAAACTCGTCTAAGTTTGTGCCGGTTATCGTGCAGATTTCGACAGCATTCGATCATCAAACTGGGAGTGATGCTATCATCTTTGGTCAACGCTTCCAGATTTAACTCGTTGATGCAACTGGTGAACAAATCTTTCTCAATGTATTTCTCCCTAAAATAAAAAGGTTCATGAAACAAAGATGTATAACAAATTTAAAAAAATCCCAATTTAAAATTTATGATTCAATATTATTTAATAATTTGTGTTAAATCTAAAAACGAATATGTAGAAAATAACAGATGCCGACAGTGGCCAAACGTCATGGGAGACAATGTCTGCCGATGCCTACCCGTTGGATTTTAACTATGATAATATTTTTAATCGTCTCTCTGGCTTTCACGACTCGCTATCAGATCTTGAAATACAAAGACAAATAATACTTAACTACTGTTAACAATGACTTAGTAGTTTGTCGATTAAGAATAATACTTGGTACTCATTAAATGTTGGACCAGTCGAGAGCCTTCTGATTAAAACTAGAAAATTACTATTGTTTTCAAAACAATTTGTATTTTGTTATGATCCTACAATAATTGCATGCATTTTTTTAAAATTTATTATATTACTACATTTATCGATCAGTTTATCTCGCATTACCAACTAAAACAACTACTTTTTGATATTGGTTTTATTTTGTTTGTGTTTAAGATATTATGACTGAATCCAACTAGGATATTGTACACTTTCTAGCTATCTCTTACTTTTGATATTTTTCCAGTAGCTCGGTGGCCTTCGATAAATTCTTAGATATTAAGTTGACCAATAAAGTAGCAGGACACGATGCTGGCACGATGATCTGTCCTGTAGGCGACACCATGAGCGGACCAGCTTCACTACATAAAAACAAAAACAATTACAAAAAAGAACACAGCCACACAATGTCGGTTACGTACGTTTCCACGACCAGTTCGAAATTGTTCAACGAATCGGGCCAAGTCTTCGGATAACCACTGCGACCTTGATAATCACTCAACGAGGTAGTGAGGTTGCGTAGATTGTTTTCATACTGCTTTGCCATGGTCTTGGGTTGAAATTTTCTAGCAACAAAATACAAATAACAATTATAAAAAAAAACATATCTAATAAATATATTTTACTGTACAATTATTATTATTGTTGTTAAATAATTGTTAAAAAATCTATTACCTTCGAACTACTTTTATATCGCGTAACACTCTTGAAGCGGCTTTTTCGTAAGCGGGCACTGTCAATAATACGGCATCTTCTTTGGCAATATTTTTGATAAACTGCAAAGAAAAACGGATGACAATTTTACGTAAGTAGAATTTTTATGCCAACATCTTATCATTAGAAATAGCAGTTGATGAGTGGAGCGGAGACATGTAACATTACATAGAAAACTTATTTTCGTTGTTAGCAAATTGGTGTGCTTTTTATTGATTTATGTACACACTGAAAACAATCAGATACTTCTGATAAGAGTATTATAGCTACGAGCAGTGTATGAAAAGAAAATTTAGATTTTAATTTTAAATATTTTACTTGAGGGTTAAAACTACTAATAACTGGATAGATAATAAATAACAATGTGTTAATTTATTATTTACCAAAAACTAATTATCTTGGTTAATTTCAAAATTGTGTTCAAATAAATTTTTTTTCAATAAAATGTATAAATGAAATTACTTTTTTTTAATAGTAATAACTTTTAATAACTAATTTTTGATTAACTAAAATATTTTTAAAAGTAATTAAAATTACTTCCTCACATAAGGTGGAAGTACAGAGTATGCAGTCAAATATCAGGAGAATAATAAATACGTTTCTATCAAAATTCATAACAAAGAGAACATGAAAAAGTTGCTGAATTCCTTTAGTCAGTAATTCGACTTTCAAATTTTGGATTTCCCTTAAATTTTAAATATACTTAGTAGCCATAAAAATGCTAATTTTTTTTTAATTTGTATAACTTAAATCTGAAAATTAAATAACAATAAAAAAGAGGTTTGTGAAAGGTTGGTTTTAAATGTACTTTCTTTTAAAATTTTATAAATTGTTTACATATTAAATTTCAATTTTATTACTTAAAAATTGTGCTTTCTACGATGCATGTATTAATATGATTAGTATGATCGTGAACAAACCATTTTTTTTTAAAGTTTTAATTTAATATTTTTTTAATATATACAATAATTTATTTATCATTAAAAATATAATTTTAATTCTTTAAAACTATTTTTTTTAATTGTGAAAAAATAAATCAATATTGCTACAAATTTTTAAATTTCAAAATTAACGTAAAGTAAATAGCAATAATAATAATTATAATAAGTACAAAACATTCACAAATGGGGCTCAGAGACGTACATAAAGGGCGTAAACAAGGAAAACCCAGTAGTTTTTTTTAAACCCGTGAAAACTAATAATCAGAATTCAATCAACAACTTACATCAAGCCAGTTGTGTCGGACTTCGCCGCTGTTTAAAAGAATAATGCCGTCTAAACTCAGACCAGTGTCTCTCCCAAACATGATCGTTCGATCTTGACGTGAAACAGAAAAGTTTTTAATTTAACAGATATAATTCATTAATACACATTATGTAAATATACTATAAACATAATAAGTCTTTAGAGTCATACAACAAAATTATTTTTATGCTTATGTTAATAATTTTGCTGTAGCAAAAATTTTAAATACAAACTATAATGAAATCAAATTTTAAGCTGACAGTTTTAAATAAAACACTAATGGTAAAAAAAATAATTAGTTTTAAAGAAAATTTGTATTATTAAGTTCTTCTAAAGACCCTGCACAATATTTAAACTATCATATCAGTCATACTCTTTAACAACGTCATCTCCGCAGGATGATTCTCCATTAGCGCTTGAAAGCTAACGAGACAGCCAATACAATGACGTACGTCCCAGCCACAGTCGAATCCGATGCTTTTCAGTCCCAAATGTTCACAAAGGTGCGCTTGGATACGAGAGACTTCATGCCTGATCGGTTCGTACACTTTTAACTTTTCACGAGCGCTGTTTGAATTGTTTTTCAACCATTTGCTAGACAATAATAAAAAAAAGAGCATTTTATTACCGCCTCGAACAAATTTTAAATTTGACACTGCCAAGTACAGCAGCTACAATATTGTAATTTTCAATCCCTATCCATGTATTGTATACTCACAACAAGTTGTCAGTAATTTGTTTCTTTTTAAACTCTTCGCGCATTGTGTCGCCTATGTTCGGATCTTTGTTCCATACATAATCATATTTGTACATGTAATCAGGCATTGGGCTGCTGAAGGTTTTTTTATGTTTGTAATTTGACGATTTGGCCGCCAAGCCATCCACGTATGATGTACTAAGGTTACAGCTTTGCAGGATTGTGGACACCGTTTGTTTGAGATCGTTTTGTTTCAAATATATGTTGACAGTTTTTAACTGATCTGAAACCAATCATGAAGATGTTCAAGAAGTAACAATAAAAAAAAAATGGAAGCACATATTTATAGCGTCGATGCATAGGTGAAGATGTACTTATTGTTTTTACAATAATGTGTTTTTATTTTTATTTTAACCTTATCCAAGATATCTTCTAAAACAGCGACAGTAGCCAACCTTTCGGACATCACGAACCACTAAATTCGTAACTTTAAATTCGTGGACCACTTATATTATAAGACTTATAAAAATTGTAAAAAAGATAAATACATTTGTAAAATAATGATCAGAGAACTTTTTTTTTATATTACAAAATTAAAAAAGTTTGTTTAATTATTACAAAATAATTGAAGCTTACTAGAAGATTACATTTTTATAGTGATATTGTTCCTGCTTGTTTGAAACAAATTTCTGGATTTTGAATGATCCGTGAAAAACCACAAACCACTGGTTGGTTCTGACCGATTTCTCTATGTAGTAACTCTATGGATCACAAGTCCTACCCAAAAGATACTTTACTGTGCCAAAAATCTAAAAAGTTCACCCCTCTTTTTTTAAAACGGAAAAGAAAACCAAAACAATATAAATAATTTTTAACTTAGCGATTTATCTTTTAAAGATAATAGTCTGTATAGTTTCAAAATTGAATGGAATATTTTTTAAATAAAGCACTACGAATAAAAGACGTTGACAAACCAAAAATACGTCATAAACCTTTCTCCCTAAAAGGGATAGAAGAATCATTACATTTATTTATCTTTTTTGAGCATAGTTTAAGGCCTAAAAATTTGACCTTAAGGTAAGTCAAGTGTGGGGCTATAACATGTTAAGTCTTTTAAAACGTCTGTTGACAGACTTTTTTTTTATATTGAGAAAACACCAAAAAAGGGCAGAACTAAACATTATATAAACTGATACCTATATTATAACAAATATTAAAAATTACACATCATTGTAAAAACAAAACTTACTGCTTAGCTTTGCATCAAAACCAAGAATATCTATATTTACCGATGTTTTGAGTTCTATTGTGAGGTTTCAAAAAGAATTTCACTGTCACCGGCTTGACGGGTTGGTTTTTACGCGTACTCTCTATGAACGAGCTCAGCATTTGCAAAGAACTTTCATTGATCGCCTGTAAACATTGTATTAAAATTTAGAAAAATGAAAACAAAATATAATAATATAGGTTAAGGTTACCCTTTCGTTTGGGTACTGTCCAAAAAGATCTGGGTGAACTGAAAAATAGAATGGCCGCAACGCGGTGGACAGTTCATTAGAGGAAATTTTTCTACTTTGCATCATCATACAGCCGCAAACATATGAGTTTTTGAAGAACCTGTGAAACGAAAATTTTAAATACAAGCTATATATTTTGAATTATATTTATAGCAAGTTTTGTATTGCAATTACGCCAAACTGTTATTCAAATAATAAATTTGATTTTATTAGAACAAAATATATCCAAAAAACAATTTCATATAGCTTTCTATTAAAATAAATATGTTTAAATAAATGTTCTATTTAAACTAAATAATTTGTTTTATTCCTATAAAAATAGAAATAATAATTAGAATTTAAAAAAAACTTAAAAGAAAAGTTCAAATAATAAAACTAAATAAATATTTATTTCAAATGACAGGCTATTTGAAACAATCAAAAAGTAGTAGGAATTTTAAATACCGAGATTATAATAACTAATGAAAATCATGTTCCTATAGAATGTACAATAATTATGTTATAAATTTTAAGTTTCAAACATCCATAATCAGTAATTAAACATCCGTGTTAAGTTCAATTCGGTTTAAAGCCCTGATATTGAATTATGTTAACTCACATAACTTATGGTTTAGTGTAAAGTTGTAGAAATACGAACAACACCAATAAAAGGACACAAATTTATATTATAATGTGAGATTGATTAGTACTCTCATTTATAATTTCAGTTACACTTAAAACTGATATAATAATTTGAGTTTATGTCGGTTACGGTTTTTGATAAGAAAAAAATGTTATAAAGCCTATAATGGTTTTTAAATTTATCGAGTCTAAAAAAGGTAAGTTTGAGTTCAAAACTCTGAATATAATCCTATCTATTCGTTACATGCATAATATTGTTAGCTAGGTATGTTAGGTATTATAAAACGAAAAAATATACAAAAACGGGATTTTTCACGGTAATCATTATTCAAAATCTAATTCGAATTTTGCCCAACTCTGGTCATATCTACATAATAAAATAAAATAATAATCATAATAATATTTGTTTCGCCCATCGTATTAGGCCTAACAACAGTGTTTAAGTTCCGTACAACTGTATTATCATTACAATAACACTTTGACGATCGACGGCGTTGGCTACGGAAACTTGGTCTGATACAATGGTAAACAATAGGAAAAACGACCATTTTGATAGATTCAAACGAGGAAAACGAGGTAATAAAATAATATCATTAAAAATATTGGGCGCCGATACTTTACCTTTGCGATTTAGCGGTCAGCATTTTAGCCGGGTAATTTTTTTGACGAGCTGCGAGATTTTCAAGACGGCCAACCGACGTGAAGAGCTAAGGGAAAAAAACTGAAAGATTTTGTTCAAAGTGGGAAGAAAAATGTATTATAGAAAACAAAGAAAACGGTTGTACCGAAACCGTTGTGAGAACGGCAGACGGCTACTGCCGTACAACACAATGGTTAATATTATTATTATGCGTTTTTCAAAAAAAAAAAAAAATGAACAAGGATTGATACCCTGTTGACGTGATAAGATAACGCACGGTTACCCCGGTTAACGCCGTTTGATATTCGATAGGTATTATTATTATTATATATTATGCGAATGCCTATGAATTATGAAATGATATTATTTTAATATATCAAATTAACTACAAGTGTGTTATAGTAACATGAGAATTATAGTGGAATATTACTATACAGCGTAGATAGATACGTCAAGTCTATCCGACTACCTTCCTACATTATTATTGTAATAATTTTGTTGTTGTTTTTTTTATTCGCTGTAATGACGTAGTTAGATAAAAAAAACACCTATCCATAGGTACTTTACGCACGGGCCAATAGTGCAATATAGTATACATGATACAATTTATAGACAGAATTTAATTGCGTGGTCGAACGATAAAATTACCTACTACAGGCTTTTATTACAAATGTTTATTGATCAAAATATGTACAAATAGCGATACTGCTGAAAAAAATTCATTGTTGTCTACCTATGATATTTCTTAGCCCTCCTGCCCCCCCCTCCCCATACGTCTAAAATCGAGAGAACCCCCAAAAAATACTCTTTATCTTTTTAAAAATAGAATTTATAAAAAAATGTTTGTGGCATGTTCTCTTTAGATAAAGCACAAAAAAAAAAATACCATAAACCCATTCTCCCAGAAGGGATGGAATCTTTTTCTTTACTTCTGATTTTCGAGCCAAGATGTAGAGCATATAAGATCTAGAACATGACCGGATTTCCTAAAAAATCAACTTTTTTTTATATATTTTTTTTAAGGGAAATCCAAAATAAGGGGGAATATTGCAGCCAAAATACAGTTTAAAAATGTTTTAAACTATTAGGAAATTAAAAGAATTTCTCCATTCGTTCATAATTTTGCTTCTTTATTCTAAATTACATTAGAACATTATTGATAACTCCAAAAGTCTATCGATTCCACATCAAATCTGATAACATTAATTACAAACAACTAAAAACTTATAGGTAATAGCAAGGGCAAGTTTTTTGCATGTGTAACTATAGTTTTGATATTTGACATTGAAAGTAACTTTTATAACATTCAAATTTTATAGGAAAAAATTTGGAAACAAAACTAGTTATACAGTATGTTTTAATACTGCCATTCGATACTGAACAATTAATATTGTTTGTTAATAATTAAAATTAGCATGTAGGTAATAAAATTAAAATTATCACTAAAATTATTTTACTTGGAGCTTACACTAAAATATTTACAAGGGCAAATCTAAAATTATATATTTGGGGGGGTGGAAGGTGATTGATATTTTATACAAGTTAGTATTTTGTTAAACAACTATTTTTCCTACATTAATTGATACCTACGTACATTATTTTATAGGTCATAGCAGTCCTAAATAATTAATAGCCATGAATATGTAGAAAATTGCCAAAATTAACTTAATAATATTAAATAAGTTTTAGTAAATGCATTCTAATAACTTAATAGATAAATATAAATTACTTTGTCGTAATCATGATAAAAAAAACACTATAGTAATCTTCAGGTATTATTTTAATTTAAAGTGATAAAATCATTAAATAACTCTTTGATGCAAATCTGTAGTTGGTAGAAATACAAATATCGATAAAACTATTGTAAAAACAATAATTTGATTTAATGTTATATTTTGAGTGTTAGAGAGAATACCTACGATTAGGGTTGATCGTCTGTCTACCCATATAATAATAAAAACGGGACTCACAAATTTGTCCAACCTACAACAAAAAAATTAAAATTATTTACATATTTTGATAATAACAGTTATTATTATATATTTTAATTAATTCAATTTATTAATAAACGACTCGTTTTAATTCCTTATGTTATATTAATAGTTCACCTACCAACCTTCTAGTTTAATTTTTTTTTATACAGTTAAAGCAGAATAAGAACATGTTTATTTTTTTCATAAAAGTGCCACTGGATGGACATCATAATTTAACAGGGTTTCCTCTCTTTATGAATTGAAAAGATTCTTGATTTTTAAATATTGTTGTATTCATTGTTTCCAAAGAATAAGTTACCAAGTTCTCTTGGTCGTTTCTTAACACACAGGGTTCCCTGTTATCACCAGCATCATCCGTGGCAACTGATGCGCGCGCCAATTGACAGTTACGAATTGCGCGACCGAGGCGAAGCAGCTGCGCTCTGGTTTCAACGGCCAAAAATGTGTTTGGAGGTAATAATAATTATTATAGGGCGAAAATCGATAAAACGATGGCGTCGGGGTCTTACGGTACGAATCAATACTAGACAATGCCGCCGTCCCTTTACCCGTATAGTAATCGAGTAACGTACCTGCACGGTTAGTTGTTTACTTGTTTACCTACACGCAGTGGCCAGCCGGGTTCTGCGACGCGCTCAACTGTTTATGTTTGTGTCTTATTGTCGGCTCAAAATAATATAGTTCAGACTTCTTACTTCGGCAAGTTTAGCGTACGTTTTTACTTCGAAAGGGCACACCGTGTCGTGAAGGGCGTGTCGTGTTTCGTCGTACCCGCCTGAACTGCAATCCGTCATGGGCGCCATTAAGCCGATTTTCAGTAAGTAATTTTCAACGTACCCAATCATTAACGATATTTAATTAAGTAAATATACTTTGAAATTTCCGTTTGCGGCGATCCGATATTGTTGTTGGGAAAAGCTGTCTTATGTATACTCTTGTATTTCTATCGGCCAATTAAAATCAGCCGGCTATTAAGATACGTTCGTTTCACTCTTCAGTGTACTAACAACAATAAAATATAATCATTGTTATTTTTTTATAACTCGTGTCTCAATGTCTAGATCAGCACGTCCAACCGATCGATTTGATACACCGAGAACACGATTACTGCTATGTTGAGACTTTGAAGTTGCGTTTAGCAAGGTATGCCATGATTTTTTATTTAATTTCATTCGAACACCATAATTTTAAGCTGACACCAAATGGAAGAAGATGTATAGATTGTAGAACAGTTTACAGTTAAAATAATTACATTTTTTATTGGTTTATGACAAAATTTTAATCCAACGGTCCTTCGGTTTGAGGTGTTAAAATTAAACGTCAGGTTAGGCAAATGGTCAATTGAACTTTATCCTTACCCATCTTGATTTTCTTCTTGTGATTTTTAAAATCAAGAATTGAACCAAGACGGAGTAAGGATGGGCTACAGCGCCGCAGACAGAAAATGATGACTCAGCTGGGCCGAATAAACAGAAAATGTTGAAATTTTATTTATTATATCAAAACGGTCAACATTTTTTTAATTATGTGCTTAGTGGTAGTGGTTGTAGCATTTCATACAATTATTATATATTCTATTAGTTTATGATAATGTTTAACCCAACTCCCCTAAGGTTTGAGGTGATAAAAATAAACGTCATGTTAGGTAATTGGTCAAATGTACTTCATCCTTTTATCTCTCCGGAGTACGTTTTGTTATTTTTAAACTCAAAATGTATACCGGAGGGAAGAAAGGAAGGGCTACAACGCTGAAGACTGAAAACGATGACCCAACTGTATCGAGCAAACGGAAAATGATGATATTTTTTTTTTATTTGTAATCAAAACCGTCACAATTTTTTTAATATAGCCAACATTTTTAATCAAGGTTTTTAAAAGTGAGGTGCGGTACTTGTGATTTTGATATGTTTTAAATGTTATTCAGTCTAAATTCCAAACATTAAAATCCCCCTAAATATCACCTAACGATGTGCAACAAAAATGTTTAACCCAACTCCCCTAAGGTTTGAGGTGATAAAAATAAACGTCATGTTAGTAATTGGTCAAATGTACTTCATCCTTTTATCTCTCCTGAGTACGTTTTGTTATTTTTAAACTCAAAATGTATACAGGAGGGAAGAAAGGAAGGGCTACAACGCTGAAGACTGAAAACTTGAATTTTAACACGTGGATAATTTTGAATAAAAAATTTAGTTATAAACCTATAAAAAAAAGTAAATTTCAACATATGTATGTAAACGATAGATTAAGTCTTCATCTTAAATCATTTTGTACAGATCTACTTTTATACTGAGATTACGCTTAAATTAGTAAAATAATAGTTTTGAAAAATGTATTATTTAAACTACAAATTAAATACTGTTGTAGTGTTCTGGTATTAAAATGGGTAATCAATTGCTTTTACATATCAAAATTAATATAAGCATATTTGTTAAAATTAAAATTAAAAAAACATACTTTTAATCTGACAAAAAAAGCGTTTTATCGTTATGTAATTATGTCTTCTAGACTGAAAAGAAAGAAAAACATGTATATTTATATTTCTCATAGCGTATAATTATCGTAGTCTATAAACAAAGAAAACAATTTTTTATGGTCGGCATGCTAGGAAATTAAAAATGTGTACTGTTTTAAAAAATTGTTTTTAGATATTTTATTTGTATTTTCTAAGTTAAATACATTTAATCATTATGTAATCTAGAAATGTACAGGAAAAACAGGTTTTTAGGTCGTGCCAGTAAAAAGTGAGGTGCGGTACTTGTGATTTTTATATGTTTTAAATGTTATTCAGTCTAAACTCCAAACATTAAAATCCCCCTAAATATCACCTAACTATGTGCAACAAAAATGTTTAACCCAACTCCCCTAAGGTTTGAGGTGATAAAAATAAACGTCATGTTAGATAATTGGTCAAATGTACTTCATCCTTTTATCTCTCCGGTGTACGTTTTGTTATTTTTAAGCTCAAAATGTACACCGGAGGGAAGAAGGAAGGGCTACAACGCTGAAGACTGAAAACGATGACTCAACTGTATCGAGCAAACGGAAAATGTTGATATTTTTTTTTTATTTGTAATCAAAACCGTCACAATTTTTTTAATATAGTTAACATTTTTAATCAATAAGTATGACATATATTAACAGAAAAATTTAAGCAATATTTTTAGAAAAAACATATGCATTTAGTATTAAGTTTAAACATTTTATTTGAATTTTAACAAGGATAATTTT